ATATATATATATACACACTAGCAAACTTAGCTCTTCATGAAGACAGATCGTGTCAACCTCTGATTACGACTTAACTTTTGCCAACGGTTCTCAGGAATGATCAAAAGTAGAAAAAAATTAAGACTTGACAAAATTAAATTTAAGACCCTGGGTGAAAATCTGGGCGTTTTTACGACCTTTTAGGCCTAAAATTTTTATTTTCAAATTTTAGACTTTTTTAGACTTTTTAAGACCCGGCATGAACCCTGAATAAAGTATTTTTGAATTGAAACTGCAACAAACTGAAGATTTGATGCAATCCGCAGAGTTCTTTAGATAAATAACTGTCAGTGCCCCGAAATAACCTTTGTTGTGAATTGGCACAAAGAAATGAGCTGGACTGATTCACATCCCTCAGAATTACGAAGCATGTGCTTGTGTGAACTGTACAGACTTACATCAGCTTGAAGTTACGATGGCCAAGGACATTCTCGTAGTTAAGAACCAACCTGCAAAATAAAAACAACATGAGTGAAACAAAGAAAATTCTTACCATGAACAAAAAATCTATTTGTGCAAACGCACCAACATAATGTGTTTTTACAAAAGTTTTATGTCTCCTACAGACCATTAAAGATTTCTGCCTTTAAAATGATGCAAATGATCAGTGCTGCTGTTCTGAACCTGTATATGGAGCCATGATGCTTTACAATGATTTCCTGTATGAGGTTTAAGTCAGCAAACTATTTACAGTAACATCTAAGAGCAGGACATATCTAGAGCAGATCAGGAATCATCCATCCCACACCACCCCTGGGCAGCAGAGGCAAGTAGGTATCTCTGCAGACAAAGTAGGTGTTTCCAAAGGAAGGCGTTTCTCAAGGGCCACACCTGATTGGATGATTGTTTTTTAGGCGTTTCTTTATAAACTAATATATCTARGTTTTTTAGTATCACATTTTCATTTATTTATTTAGTTTCACAAAATTGCTGTTGTTACAAAGGTGTGACACATTGCAATTTCATTAAAAAAATTGTTTTGGCTGCTAAAAATTAATGTGAAAATAGTGAAGAAAAACAAAAGAACCAACCTTTTCAAAAAAACAGGAACAACTAACCAATCAGTGTTTACAGTTGAGAAACACCTACTCTGAGTCTGCAGAGAACCCTTCTGAGCAGAGGTGGAGTGTGGAGGATCTGCTCGCAACAAATATCTTTATTGTATTGTTGCATCATCTTCAGTTTTTCCTTGTTAATAATCTCTATAATCTCAGTTCCCCTGGATTGGCAGACCGGGGTGGTGGTYCCCTTATTTAAAAAGGGGGGCTGCAGAGTGTGTTCCAACTATAGGGGGATCACACTTCTGATCCTCCCTGGTAAGGTCTATTCAGGGGTCCTGGAGAAGAGGGTCCATCTGATGGTTGAATCTCGGACTCAGGAAGAGCAGTGTGGTTTTAGTCCTGTTTGTGGAACAGTGGACCAGCTCTACACCCTCAGTAGGGTCCTGGAGGGTTCATGGGAGTTCAACCAGTCAACATGTGTTTTGTGGACTTGGAGAAGGCATTAGACCGTGTCTCTCGGGGACTCCTGTGGGGGGTACTCTGGGAGTATGGGGTACCAGGCCCGTTGATACGAGCTGTTAGGTCCCTCTATGACCAGTGCCAGAGCTTGGTCCACATTGCTGGTAGAAAGTTGGACTCGTTTCTGGTGAGAGTTGGACTCCATCAAGGTTGTCCTTTGTCACCGATTCTGTTCATGACTTTTATGGACAGAGTTTCTAGGAG